GCCGTTCCCTCTCCTCCTGTCCCTGTTCCCTGGGAGCAGAGCCCGACCCCCCCCGGCTCCCCCCTCCTGTCAGGGATTGCAGAGCCAGAAGGTCCCCCCTGAGCCTCCTTTTCTCCAGGCTGAGCCCCCCCAGCTCCCTCAGCCCCTCCTGCTGCTCCAGCCCCTTCCCAGCTCCGTTCCCTTCCCTGCCCACGGATGGATGTGGTGCCTGGAGGGACAGATGGACACTGGCTGGGTCTGGAGCAGGGGAAGCCCAGGCTGCAGCTGCAGGTCGGGAGTGGGAGGATGCAGTCAGGGATGCAGGGCTGGGATGTGGCTGCCTGCCAAGGGTTTCCATGGAAACAGCAGCTGCTGCAGTGGGACTGCAGTGGGGGATGCAGGGATGGCTCTGCCATGGATCCAGCTCCAGCCCCTCCCAGCTGGCACAGGAGGGGGCACACAGGAGGAGCTGGGGGTGCCCCCAGACACCTGGGAAAAGGGGGGAATCCAGCCACGCCTATCCTGGGGACCTGCAAGGAGGGACGGGACACGGGGGAGTGGCTTCCCACTGGAAAAGGGGAACTTTGTGTTGGATTTTGAGAAGAAATCCCTCCCTGTGAGGGTGGGCAGGCCCTGGCACAGGTTGCCCAGAGGAGCTGTGGCTGCCCCTGGATCCCTGGAAGTGTCCAAGGCCAGGTTGGAGCAACCTGGACTGGTGGAAGGTGTCCCTGCCCATGGCAGGGGGTTGGAATCAATGGAATTTGCAATACCTTCCAACCCAAACCATTCCATGATTCCATGACTCTGTGTCCCCAAGTGCCACATCCACATCCAAACCCCCCAGGGATGGGGACTCCACCGCTCCCGGGACAGCCCCTGCCAGTGTCGGTGCCTCAGGGATCCTGAGTTCCAGGGGTTCAGCCCAAGGAGAGCAGCAGAACCTGCCCTAGTTCCGAGGAGCGTTCCTCAGCCAGCAGCTCCAATAAGGAATTCCCTGTTCCCCCAAACCCACTCCCTGTGGTGCCACTGTTTCCTGCCAGATCCAGACTCTGCCTCACTCCCGCTCCCCCCGACGCTCCTGTCCCAGCTCCTGGACACCCTCTGGCTGCAGGGACACAGGGCTGGGGACAGGCTGTCCCTGGGGCTCACGGCTCTGTCTGTGCTCTCTCCACAGATTCCGTGGATGCCGCCAAGACCAGCAAACTGGTGAGTGACCCCGGTACTCTGGCACCTCTGAAGGCGCCAGCTCTCACCCCTTTGGGAAGAGCACATGGACACACCCTTCCAGCTCAGTGCTCTGGGACAAAATGCCCATGGAAAAGTGGGTTTATTCTGGACCCCTGGGAAACAAGGTGTAAAACTGTCACTTTCGGCCACTGGGTGGGAATCTTTTGGTTCCTGAGGGGTCACCCAGTGCAGGTTCCATGTTTTGATCTGAGTCCAGTCAATATTTCAGCATTCCCTGGCTGCTTCCCTCAAACCCTGATCCTCATGAAATCGTGGAATGATTTGGGTTGAAAGGGACCTTAAATCCCATCCAGTCCCACCTGACACCTTCCACTCTCCCAGGTTGCTCCAAGCCCTGTCCAACCTAGTGTTGGACACTTCCAGGGATGGGGCAGATCCAAGGACTCTCTCATCCCACAGGAAGAGTGCATTCCTTGGAATAAGTGACATTGGCTCTCTCTGGCTTCCTCACCTCTGAGAGTCTTTATCCAGGAGCTCCAGTGGCTCCTGGGGCATGGATAGAGACATCTCATATCCATTTGTGATGGGCATTTCCTAAGGATCAGGAAACTGGAGCAGGTTCCTGTCTTCAGGTACTGCTGAAATCCACCCAGACAGCTGTGCAGGTGTGGGATAGTGAGGAATCATGGAATACTGAGGTTGGAAAAGCCCTCTGAGGCTGTGGAGTCCAGCTGTTCCCCAGCACTGCCCAGGTGACCACTCCTGGGGAGCAGTGGTGGCACTGGGTGATCCTGGGGGCACTGAGGATGGATTTGTGTGTTTGGGGGAGAAACTGGATTTTCCTCAGGGATAAACTGGTCCAGCTGGGGTGTGGGAGCTGTGGGAAAGGAGATGGCTCCCCTGGGGACAAGGGGCTGCTCCTGTGTGTGGCACCTGCAGGGCTGGGTCGGGGCATATCGAAGCCCAACCTCCTGCACTGCCATTCCAGGTGATTCTCAGGAGTGGGAATTCTCCTCCCTATCCTGCTGTGGAGCTGGGTGCTGGGTCAGAGTCAGCACCTGGGCACAGCTGGGATGGGGATGGAGCAGCACTGTGGGATGCTCCCAGGGGTCGTTGGGATCAGATACCAGGGGGTGTGAGCTGTGGGCAGAGGGGAGGGTAGAGGAGAATTCCCTGCCCTGTACTAAAGGGATTTGGGAGGGTTTTTTGGTTTTTCCTGCTGTGTGCTGGCAGGCCCCTGGCACTGCTGGAGCCTCTGCCCCGTGTGTTCCCTGCCTGATCCACAGCATCGAGGCTCCTGCTTTAATTATACCCTGGAATTAATTAAAAGGCAAAGAATATTTAGTAAGGGAAGTCAGGATGCTGAAACGGGGATTGTTCTTGGAATGTTTTGTGCTGCTGATGTGGAGAAGGGATCAGGACAGGAGGTGCTGCTCGATGCACTGCTGTGTTCCAGGGCATTCCCACGGGTTTGGCATGGAACCATGGAATGGTTTGGGAGGGACCTTAAATCCCATCCAGTTCCATGGGCAGGGACTCCTTCCACCAGCCCAGGTTGCTCCAAGCCCCGTCCAGCCTGGCCTTGGACACTTCCAGGGATCCAGGGGCAGCCACAGCTGCTCTGCCCAACCTGTGCCAGGGCCTCCCCACCTTCACAAGGAGGATCTTCCCAGTATCCCATTTTTTGGCACTGGGAAGCCATTCCCCCTTGTCCTGGCACCCTTGGCACCCTCTCCCTCCTGCATCCTGGCAGATCCTGGCACCCCAATTCCTTCTTTGGTTTACCCACTTTTGCACCATGAAATTACCCATTTCTCCCTGGATGTGTCCTGGTTCCCCCGAATTCCCCGTGCTGGGGGTGGATCTGTGACACCGGAGCGAGGAGGGGGACTCTGAGGCTGCCAACGAGCCCTGTTGTGATTTCCACCTTAACTTACTGAACTTCCCCTGGCTCCATTCCCGCCTGTCCTGCCGCCTGGGTGTTCCCGGGGCTGTTCCCGGTCCCTGCAGGGCCTGTCTAACGTTCCTTCTGTTCCCTCCTCACGCAGCGCGGAGCGAAGCCCAAAAAGGTGCTGTCCGACCCCCGTGGGGCCGCATGCCGGGGCCATCGCCATCCTCACCTGCCATCCCGGCCATCCCAGCCCCGCATGGCTGCTCCCTGCATGCGCCCCCGCCCCTCATGGCATCATGGAATGGGTGGGTGGGAAAGGCCCCCGACACCCCCGAGTTCCTCCAGCGCTGACTGTGTCCCCAGCTGCCACATCCACAGGGCTGTTAAATCCCCCCCTGCCCTGCTCAGTCTCTTCCAGTGCTTCACAACCCTTTCCATGAAGGAATTTTCTTGGTATCCAACCTGAACCTTCCCTGGCACAAGCTGAGGCTGTTCCCTCGTAGATATTTTTATAAAACTCTCTGGTGACTCGGGGACAAGTGGCACCTTCTCAGGGCTGTCCCATCCTGTCCCCAGGCTCTGGCTCCTCCCAGGGACACCCAAAACCAGCTGGTTTTTTTGAGCCAAAAATATCTTGTACCAGGATGAGCCAAAACTCCAGTGGGTCTTGGCAAAGAATCCCAGGAGAATCCTGGAATGGTTTGGGTTGGGTTGTTAAAACCCGTCTCTTTTCACCCCTTACCATGGGCAGGGACACCAAATCACCATTCCCTACAGGGTCTTTGGGGAATATTTTTTTTCCCATGGGAATTTTGCCAGGAGAAAAGGCAAGGTGAGCACTGGGGACATGGAAAGGACCCAGCATCAGCGCTGGGAGGGAGGGAGGAAGGAAGGGAGAGGATACCTGGAGCCCTCGGCATCTCTTTGGCCCAGCTTTGCTTTCCAGCCGCTTCCGGGTCCTTTTCTGGGGAAGAAACGGTGCAAACAGCTCTGTTTGTCCATGGGAAATCCAGAGGCGAGGAGCAACGTGGAAGCACATGGTGAAGGTGCCAGGAGCCTCTGGAGGGTGCCAGGAGCACCTGCCCCAGGTGTTCCCTCCTCGTGTCCTCCCAGGTCCAGGTCTCTGCATGTCCTGAGGCTCCAGGGCCTTGTGGGTCCCCTCATGCCGGTCCTGCCAGCTCCAAGGGGTGCCTGGCTGTCAGGGCCCTCCATAGGATGAACTTCCCATTTGGAATGTTGGGTTCTTCCCCTCCTGTCCTGTTCTGGTGGGTTGTTTGCAGCTGCCGTGTGTTCCTGCTGTGTCCCTGCCGCCTGCTCCCCCCCGGAGCTGGGGCTGGGGGAGGGATTAGGATCATGGGGGATCACGGATCTGTCAGTGTCCAGGGATCATGGGGGTGTGACTATCACCGTCCTGACCCTCATCCTGGCAGCTCACACAGGGCTGTCCCCCCCCCAGTGCCAGGCTCTGCTGCCCCCCCCCCCCCC